CAGGGATATTACAACCTATGTGACTGTAAGGGCTTGATGAGAAAACACCCCCGTGGGTGAAAAGTCAAGTTAACAAGTATTACCTGAGATTTGTATCGAACAGTACACAGGTGGGTTAAGAGGTGGCCTGCTGCCTGCTGCAAGGCCAGCAGTTCAATTCCACCAGCCACTCTGTGGCAGCAAGATGAGGCTGTTTGCTCCTGTAAAGAGTTATAGGCTCAGCAACAACCCATTCAAGCAAATCTGCCTGTCATCTAGGGTTGCTATGAGTTGGAATTGGCTCGATGACAGCGGGGTTCCCTTTGTCTTTTGCATTTTAAAGCACGTCCACTCACATGCATCAATGCTGAAATTTGTTCAGGCTGCAGTTTTGTCTAATTGAATAATGGTTAAAATGCCTGGGCCCCTGGCCAGGTACTAGGAAGCATTTTCGTTAGGCCATTTGGTCATGGCTGTGTGGGCCGATGTGGTCGGAATCTGGAGCTACTTGTCAGGATGTTGGTTATGCTAAAGAAATCACTGGTGGTTCTCACAGCCAATTACTCCTCTCTCCTCTCCAGGGAAATCCTTCCCTGGCACACAGAATTTCCACCTGGAGGTCGGCCTCATTATTCTGTCCGTGGTCTTCGCCGTCTGCCTTCTAGCTTGCCTCCTGGGAGTTGCTCTCCGAAAGTTTAAAAGGCGCAACCAGGAACGCCTCAATCCCAGAGATGTGGAGTACGGCACCATCGAGGGTCTCATCACCACCAACGTCGGAGACAGCACGTTAGCGGTGAGTGTGTGATTCCCCACAGGGAGCCCCTAGCATGCGAAGGTGGCATAAGACCCTTGTTCCAGTGTGAAACCCGGTATTGATGGGACTGTCACCCACCCACCTCTGGTCATTCATGATTATGTATCTACTAGCGCTTGTTCCATCTTCTCGATTTGCATACGTCCAGTTTAGGCTGTTGTTGATGCTGCCTAAGATATGGGATTTAGGTGAGCAGATTCTTGGTCGTTAATTTTCTTTGGGGAGTAAGGGAAAAGGGATAGACAGTAAATGCCTTTAATTGGGGTGGGGCTGGGGGTGCCATTGGAATTTTATGGTGCTCAGTTACTGTTTTTGTAATACCAGTGCCTACCCCCAAACACCTTTGCTTAATACTACAAAAAACCCAACTCTCCTTTCGAGATTATCTCCACACTTTGGAATTAAACTTCACAAACTCTCTCCACCTACAGCAAGTAGCTACTACACTTTCCGTGCTCCTGTGCTGCCCCCTTGTGGAGGGCAGTCAGTCGGTTGGACCATCGGAGCCCAGTGGAAATTTGGGAGCCTCACGCAGTTCCCCCTAGGGACCACATTCAGAAGCGGAAAAAGGAACCCACGAACTTAATTTGAACAATCCGTTGTATTTAATCTAAAAAGCCCATGCTTTTTCAGCATGTAAAATAACAATTAACTCGATTTTTAAATTTTCTCTTTTAACAGAGTCTATGAGCTCTGGAGTGTATTTTATATTCAGAGGGAGCCTTGGGTGGTGCAGATGGTTACGCTGCACTATGGAAAGAAAGGTTGTGGTCCCTGCCTACCCACAGAGAGCCGGGCTCCTCAGAAGCAAGGCCTGGCAATCTGCTCTCCAAAGGTGGCAGCCTTGAAAACCCAGTGAAGCAGTTCTACTCTGTGCCCATGGGCTCCCCCTGACTCAGCTTCAACGTGAAAACTACCTGAGCAACACTTGCCGCCTGCTCTCAATGGTAACGATGTGGCACATGGCTACCATACTGGATGCATGGAAACCAATCAGAATTCCTGTGTTACCTATTTGAAGTGATAAGATCATGTTAAAAAGTGACTATCCTTTCTTAGAAAAAATTGTCACGTGCTAGTTTTGAAGAAAACGAATTTTAAGTGAGAAGCCTATACTAAAAATAGATTTCTGTAAATATTTAGAAAGGGGGCGTGAGGTAATGACAATTTAAATTGTTACTGTGCTGAGTTGTGTGCCTATTTCAAAAGAGGTAAAAATCAGTATTAAAAGGTGTTAAAAATATACCCACACCAAATAAGACTCTGGCCTTGAATCCAAAGACAAGCAAGGTCGTAAGTTTCTGATACGATTCAAGGTCATTTAAGCCATGTTCATGTTTCACCTCGGACCATCTTGTATTAAACTTTGCTTGGCTAGAAGACTAATTTAAAGGTGTCTGGTAGTTGTACGTTTACTCAGGTATAAAGATTAACCGGCAACTTCCTTCTGGTTGGAGAAGATTTCTCTCTTCAGTGGCCATCTTTGTAGTTCAGGCAAAAAGTCGCAGGCCCACTCTTGGCGATTGTCAAAACTACAAGTGGTGACTGTTCCAGGCCGGGATCTAGCCACTAGCCAGTTGGTTTCCCATCACTGGGCCACCAATCAAGTACATTCTTAGTAAGAAAAAGGATTTTAAAACCTTCTAAGATTCCTTTTACCTACTTACTGAAATTGTAGTACAGCAAAACTGGGAAAAGAGGATCTAAGGACATTCTATTTCAAAAAGTAGAGAACTACAGTTTTTCTGCCTAAACTATACATAGAATTCTATTTCAAGTTTTAAGGGAAATCAAATGAGTTTATTGAGTTAGTAGCATGAGGATGATTTTTGACAAAGCCTTAGCGAAGCGATTCTAAAATAGATTCGTCAGAACTTCAAGGCGAAGGGCTTACTGACCCAACTGATTACCCAGGGCAACAAGCAACACGGAGCATGAACTCCTTTGAATCTTTAGAAAGAGGACTGGGAAGGAGGGCCAAAGTGCCTCCTCAACTCAGCCATATGAAACAACAGTAGGTCACAGTATAACACAATGTAGCATGGTGAAGACCACGGTTTTAAAGAAGTCATCCGTAAGAGTCTGTGTGCTTGTTATGTAAGAGACAGATTCATTTACATGATGCAACCAAGCATACGCTCGACTAAATCATGCCTCTCGACAGGGTGCAGGGCAGGGAAGCCCTTACATCTGGGATTTGAGGTAGATGTTTGTGGGTTTCTGTTGACTTCTGTTCCCTTTTAAGTTTCTGAAATGGTTTATCTGTTATGAGATGTATATACAGGATTGTCCATTAGGAAAAAGTAGCACTCATGTAATTTTCAGAATTCTAAGAAAACCTCCGAATGAATAGGACAAGGAACAACCAAAAGCCTGGTTGGAGCTGGGGACGCTGGCTTCCTCGATGAGCGCCCCTGCCGGTGGATTCCCCATCGTGGGATCTCCGCTTCCGCGGGCTGCTTTGCCGACGTGAAAGAAGGAGACATTGCGACGAATCACCATGCTGCTTCAACAGAGCAGTTGAGACGTGGGGGAAGAATAAACTTGCTGGGGAATACGATGCACACAATTGCAGCTGTCTCTCCAGCACCATGGTGCCGTGTTGGTTATAGATTATCCGCTCTTAGAACAAAAAGACTTCTGCATCTCGGTTTCACAACGCACGGAAGAAGGGAAGATGTCTGTGCCAATTAACTGGGCATACCCCACCCCACCCCTTACACCCCTCCTGAGAACACGCTTCACTTGTAGAAATAGGTTTGCCAGAGTGGTCTTGTTTTATTTTAAAACATTTACTGTGGTCAAATGTATGTAACCAAGTTGCTGTCTCAGCCATTTTTTCATGTGACCTCAGTCGTATTCCTCATGCTCTTGTAATAACCATGATGACTTTGCTGCTGGTGAACATTTCATTCCTTGCCCTTTGATTTGTGAGTGACCCACATGAACAATGACACCAGCGGGTCAGCTGTTACTCCCCTGTTCCTCACTCACGTAGCCTCTGACCAGGTAGTCCATTCTCGCTGTAGTGTACCCCCTGGATGGCCCGGATGGCCATTGGGAGCTTCTCAGTACACACCACACTTCAGAGACAGTGGGTTATGTGAGGAGTTCTCAGAGAGCAGAAGAGTATCTGATAAAGTATGCCCAGCTCCTTGACTTGAAGAAACTTCTTTTTGCTCCACTCACTAATCTTTCTACCATTTCTACGTTTGATCAGGCCTGCTGCTTGAGCTTTCTTTCTGATTTGCACACTCGGTTTTGTCAGCTTTGGTTTTCATGTATCTTATTCCGCAACATGAGACTACAAGATGGCATTATTGTTCTTCAGGAGACCTATCCTGTCTTAGGAAGAAATACAAACAGTTCCATCTCCCCCGGTGCTAACGGGCCACATGTCCGTGATCTGTGCCTTCAGTGTGAGTTGTGGCCACACATATGCCAATACTGGACCCCAGGAGCTGTGTCTCACCAGCTTTTTCTCCTCCTGTCTCCACTGCAGGATTTATTGGATCATTCGTGTACGTCAGGAAGTGGCTCTGGGCTTCCTTTCCTCGTTCAAAGAACAGTGGCTCGTCAGATCACGCTGTTGGAGTGTGTCGGTTGGTAATTCTTTTCCCCTTTCTTCGGGGGTTTTAGTTATGGTTACCAGGGTCAGGCATGGCTCTAGAAACAGGGAGGAACTTGGGGAAGATGCTCCTTCTTAGTGCCTCTTCTTCCTTTTTAAAATTTCAGGAGATGTGAGGTAGCCAGATGGGGTGACTACTTTCCTATACTCCTGTTTGAGCCCCCAAACTCATTGAAGTCTTGTCAAGGGAGGGTGCCACTCGTTAGTACAGAGACTGTGTAGGCAAAGCTTTGGGTTGTAGTTGGGCCTTTGGGGATGATGGGAATGCTTGAATTGATACAGCTGTGCCTGACGATTGGTATCAAATGATTGGAGGTAAGTCAATTTGGGAGATCATAAACTTGTTTATTGGAAGACTCTAATCCCTCTTACTCCTGATTTTCTTACTCTTAATGATTTTCTGTTAAAAATCATTAAGCAAATTTTTATCACAGGTAACTGTATCGCTCCTTTAGTTAGGTAAACGCTGTATACAATTCTCTATGGGCTCTGCTGTTGTTCCCACATGTGAGCATGAGCGCTGGAGATGTAAGCATGATGTGTCTACCACTTGCCCCCCTCCATTGCTAGGCTGCATTCGCACATATCTGTATCCTAAAGCGTGATCTGTATCCTGTAAGGCCTGACAAAGAATTAGAGCAACTTCAACAAAACAAAAAACTTTTTTTCTCACACATGGCTGCTTTGGGATGATTCTCTTGGAGTCATCTCCTAGGAGATGGGGCTCTTGGGCCAAAATTTGTGATTTCTTAAGTGGCTTGTCTTTTAAATTGTCCACTGTACTCTAGGAAAATTGAACCCAGTGCTTTCTTTAAAGTTTGATTTGTATTTGTTTTGTGTGACGGGTGTTTGGCCGCTGTCAGTGGTTTTTGCAGATTTCTCCATCCGGTGGCAAGCAGGGATGACCGCCGTAGCATCGTTGGGTCCGCAACGTCTCCACACCCCTCGGTCTTCTCAAGGGCTCTTGGCTTGGGCCTACGCTGCCTGCCTCCTGGTGTTTCTATTCCAGGAGGCAGCTGCCATCACAAGCTGCCCCTAGCGAGGGGCTGCTGCCCTCTGACCACTTCTTTCAGCTTTTGTGGACACTGGGGTATGCCCCAGCCCAGGGTAGAGGAGGGGACAGGAAGAAGGAAGAGCAGTGACTAACTTGCAAGCAGCATCTTAGCCCTGCAGCGCCAACAGTGCCCCCGCTCCTCGCCCCCAGCCGTGGTTGGAGGGAAAGAGGTGGGAATCCCACCAGGGCCCTTCTGCTGGAGAAGCGTTCTGTTGACAGGTCTGGTTATTCTTTGCTCTTCTGCCCCGGGACCAGTCAGCCTTCACCAAGCAGCACTCTGTCTCAAGATCTGGTCCGAGGACCCAAAGGACAAAGATAAGATTGCATCATGAAAATACGTGTCCTGCCTCTGGTTGCATAGATCACATTGGCATCAGTATTTGGGGTTGGGGGAATAGCATAGAGTCAATGGCAGCTTTTTGTTGGTTTTGCGCTCAACACTTGCAGCTTCTAGTCAATGTTCATGCCTCCAGTCTTGAACAGAAAGGTGTGGGATGAGCGGCAGTCAAAGTGTGCCAATGTTCTGGGTTCAACACATGGCATGTTGTAGTAGGTCAGTCATTCACAGGTGGTGATCAGGAAAACCCCAAAGTTCAGGTGTCTTAGGGTATTCTGGGTGGGGCTCCCCATGATCAGGACTTTTGATGCGGAGCTCTGCTTCTGTTTTATCCATTGCCACACGTCTGCCCTGCCGTGCCTCTGCTGCTGTCTCTGCACATTATAGCAGTGCTCACCAGATAAGCTCTGGGAACACTATTTCCCTTCCTCACAAGAACCTGAAGGCAGCAGGGAGAGACACAGAAGCCAAAGCCAGGAAAAGAGACGCAGACCGTTCCCCTAGCAGCTGGTGTTGCAGCGCCTTAACCCCAGCCTTGAGGCTGCGTGGTCAGTACTGGGCAAATGCCGTCACTTTATTAAAATTCATTGGTGGCCCACAATGAGCCAATTTACCATAGATTTGCATATTCTAACGAAAACTAAACTGCCATTAAGTTGATTCTGACTCATAATGACCCACTTGGACAGAGCAACAACCACCCTGGTGGGTTTCCAAGACTGTAAATCTTCAAGAGAGTAGAAAGCCTCATCTTTCTCCCGTGGAGCAGCTGGTGGTTTCGAACTACTGACCGTGGGGTTAGTATTCCGACCAGCATAACCACTAGCCACCAGGGCTCCACTTTAGGATTAGCCATTGATCCTTCATCATGAAAGGGGCCCTGGTGATGTTCAGGGTGAGGTATTGGCTGGCAAACTGCAAGGGTGGCAATTCAAACCCACTATCCACTCTGATAGAGAGACAGACCGACAGAGACAGAGAGAGAGATCCGTTTGATTGCTCCTGTAAAAACCTACAGCCTGAGAAACCCCACAGAGGTTCCTGAAAGTCAGAATGAGGTGGTGGACTAGGTGTGGCTATTTCACAGTGACGTTCTTTATCGGCCCAGAATTTAGATCTAGCACTCTGGATTATGTTTCAGGCGTGTCACCTGGGCAGGCGTGCTTCTCATTCCGTGTTTGGGTTCTCAGTGGCTTAGTTTGTCAGCCAGGAGCTGGTTTCCATGTGTGCAGGTGCTGCTGCAGCTGTTTCTTACAAGCCACATTTCCCAGCAGTCTGGGAGACAGCCCCACTGCCCTGCAAGTTGTATCTCCTTCAGCATTGTTATCTAGGTACCTCGGATGTCATTACCCCTGATTATACCCTGTGTCGATCCCCATCGTCTTGTGGTAATTACCTCCTCCGCGCAACCTCCCTGATCACCCCTACCTATAATTAACGGGGGAATGGAAGCAAGTGGGAGCCGGGGGTTGACACAGCTGTCAAGTGTGTGGCCGCTGCAGGAGGAGGGTGTGCACCCGATGATCGGATCAAAACTAGACGTCCCCACGTTGTCGACAATGCCTTCTTCCCAGGGGGGTCCCTTCAGGGCAGCCCACTTGTGACATCACAGGGACAATTCAACGAACAAATACCCATGACCAATGTCAGAAATCAGTGCTGTTCAGGGATTATGTGTTTAAGGCTCTGCAAATCCTCTTTGGAAACAGATCTTCCGCCAGCAAATCCTTGGGGAGGGAGGGCAGGGGCTGCTTGCTGACACCCCCTACACAGCCGCTCTTCTCGGCGTCTGTTGATTTATTTTGTCCCTCAAAATGCACACCCAAGCTTCACGGTGCTCAACGAAAATGCCTGTGTGGATCCACCTACTGGGACTCTGAGCGTGCCTTTGTTGATCCTCCCGGAGGGGAAGGAGCCAAGGAAGCTGCTGGAGTTTGCCGCCCATGATGTTTTCCTGCTCCTTCAGCGCAAACCAAACCCCAACTCACCGAATCCTTTTCTACGTTTTCCTAACTTCCGTGCACGTCCACAACGCAGTTTATATCTCAGAATACAGGATTTCAATGTAAACAATAATTAGCAGCTAATTGTACAATGCAGATACCAGGGACCTCTAATTTGTTGTCATGAGGTGGGTGGGAGGGCTAAGTTCCACCTTGGTTTTTTTTTATGTCTTTCTAGGCTGGGATTTGTATCTCAGCACCGAGTTTCTCGGAGTCATTCAGCAGGGGGGATTACAGAGTTGCAAGTGCTGTGTCTTTTGGCTCCTTTGGGCATCGTGATCAGGGCTGGCTGCCTCTCGCGTACCTAATGCACGGTCCCCTCTGCTTTACTTCCCACAGGGAAAGGCAGGTACGGTGAGGTGTGGCGGGGCAGCTGGCAAGGGGAGAATGTCGCTGTGAAGATCTTCTCTTCCCGGGACGAGAAGTCGTGGTTCAGGGAAACAGAATTGTACAATACTGTGATGCTGAGGCATGAAAACATTTTAGGTAAGTGTAAGGTTAGTCAATCGCCACAGTAATCATATCTTTGCTTTTCCAGGTGAATGTGAACTTGAGTCTCTCCTGAGAAATCTCTGTGGGGATCTCCAGCATTTACATGTCCTGTTTCACTTTCCTTTTTAAAGCCTGTTTCTTGTCTGAATCTGCCAACACGTTCATCATTCTCTGGATGATGCAAAAAGGCAATTGTCACCGCTAATTCTTCTTCCACCATCTGCAGATGGTTATTGAAACAACTGAAATGTGCCCTGCGTTGCTCACTTACAGGCCTCCTTCGTGGTTCTGCTCACTCCACCCTTTCTGAATATTTATAGCATCAAATGAAGCTAGATCTTTGGACTGTTTCCTGGAGACTCACAGCTCCTAGGGACATCATAATTAAATGCACACGCCTTCCAACGAGGCTGTGTTTTAAAGCTCAGATTTATGGAGGGATGCTGCTGAAATTTTAATTTGGGAACTGGGGCTTAGAAATGTTAGTGAAATAGATGAATAATGCCCATGGAGACACTACGATGGCGGTATGACAGAGTGCAACAGAGGGGCAGTTGCTATTGAGTTGCTTTGAACTTGCGGCGCCTGCGTGTGCATCACAGGAGATCTGTGCGCCTGAGGGCTCGTGACCTTAGATCATCAGGCCTTTGGTAGACTCCAGGAACCCACCTTCTGGTATAAAGGATGCGATACAAAGGGTAACTGGTCATATTCATAGTTGGTTGGTGAATGCTGTTTGGAGTGCGTCTTTAATAGTAGATATTTAGAATTTATCTCTATTTAGAATGTTTTCCGCCCCCTTTTCTTTTTCCTTTGGCCGCTATAATGGCTGTTGGATTAGCTCTGGTTTATATTATAGGCTTATATTATATGTCAGAATTTACGTATATGTCAATACTGTCAATTTCGTGTTTACGTGTGAGGCAGATTGTCTGCAGCTAATGGATTTGAACCCGCCCAAAGTTTTGGCTCAGTATGGTAGTTATGTTTCATCTGAGCCTTGTCCTCAGTTTCCTCCTGAGACCTCATCACTTGTATATTGCTGTCAGCTTCCCCTCTCCAATGTATTTCCCTGGGCTGCACATCCTCTGTGGGGAGCAGTGAATCGTCTGCTCAAAGCATTTGAGGATTCCACACCGCTGACAGCATTTGTAACGTTGGGCTCCCTAGTCATTGTTTCCAAAGAGATTTATAAACTCCATCCACAGATATCCCCACATGTAGCTACTTGTAGTATTTGACATTTCTTTGGCAATGGCCAAATGCCATTGGACAAACGGCTCAGTTCCATGGACATTCAGGTGTCTAAGGCCTTTAGATTAACCCTTGGTGGGTACGTACTGTGTCTTCTCCCCCTTCTCCTCCGTCAGCACCAGAACCTGTCCATCCCTTTCTCAGTTCTCCCCATGGAATTGCTTTTTTCTGCACATTCCCACGTCTTCCTGAGGCAGGTAGTGGGAGATGGCAGGCAGCTGGCGAAAGGGCACACTGACCATCACTTGCTTTGGGTGCTCTGCGGTGGCAGGATAGGGGTCTGCCACTGCACACACATCCCTAAATGTACCAGGGGCCCTTGATGAGCAGCCCATGAGCACAGAGAGGCAACCATCAGGGACACAGAGCCCGGGGCTCGACTCTCATCTAATAGTGATCTCACCTAGCCACCTTACAACCCCACCATCCCCTTAGTGAGGAGTGCATGTAATTATAAAATTATAAAGATCTTAAATGAAACTCCAGAAAATAAAATACAATCAGAAAGTAAAATACAACCATATTGTCAAAAAACCAACCCTTACATAATTAAGGAAGTAAAACTCAAAGAATATACCAATTTCATAATGTTAGTTTATCTATTAATCTGCTAAAACAAGCCTACCATGCTTATTGCTCTTTTTGTTTTTGCTGTTAATGAGACGATGCAGGATCCAGCACTCTTAGCCAGCCTGTGGCAGCCTGACTTCTCTGTCAGCCATCAGTGCGGCCCCATGCCTGGATCACCAGGGAGAGGTGGATCAGGGGCCCCGGCTTCCTCAATTTCAGACTTTGGGGTTCATTTTGGGGAGGTTGAACAAAAGTCCTTTTCCTTGATTACTTCCTCCCTATTTTAAATGAACACATCCAATTGCTTTGCCAGACTTTCAACTTCCAAACTCTACTCACAGTTGGAGCATTTTGATTCAAACAGCATCCCATCGAAGTACTCCCTCCTTCTGAAGCAAGTGAAGTTACACAATTCACACTTCAACAGCTTTAGACACACACACACACACACACACACAACCTTGTTTATTTAAGTAATTTTTCCTGAAGGCCTAAAGCCTAATTAACAGCCAGATACATCCTTCTGTTAGACCTAGGAGACTTAGGAAAGGTAAGAGAATTAAGAGAATTCTATGTTTATTATTTATACAATGTATTGAACCGGAGGCTGTTCACCCATGAGAGGGGAAGTCAGTACCGGCTACCCAGAACACAACCATAATTAGGTTTGTTTTGAGTGGTGCATTATAATTTAGGGGTATTTGTTTTTGATCAAGGCATTGAAGATGAAAATCACTTGGTTTTAAAATTATAAAGCAAAGATGTTTCCTTTAATAAGCGGGACTAATACTGTAATACCCATTTTGAATTCGTACGATGGCCAGCTTAGGACTCCCAAGAAAAGCAGCAAAGAGAGACTGGACACTGAGGAGGAGTGAGATGACCAGGGACTGGCCGTTGGTCTGGCTCCCAGAAGGAGGGATCAAGAGGCACGGGCAGAGTGCTGAAGGGTAATTTAGTTTGTTTTGCTGATGTCCTGCAGGCATCAACGTCAAATTGTTCCCATTTAACTAGAAGCCAAATTGTTTGGGGGGCAGTATAATCTAGGAAGAGGATAGATTCTAGAGCCAGATTGCCTGAGGTCATTCCTGACTGCATTGGCCAGTGGCATACTATACCTGGTTCCTGCAGATTTTGGAAAATGAAATGAGTTAATACATGTAAAATGTCTGGCACACAGTACTCAATAATTATTCATTGCTGTTGATGATTATGATCAAATATGGGACTATCCTTGGTCACCAGGACCTCCCTGTGTAATATGAGAACTGCCAGTACCAAACTCCAAACTTGGATTGGTTATTAGCTTACTGTCCCTGATATTTGGCAAGTCATGTAACAGCTTTTGCCTGCAAACTTTGTGCTTATTAGGTCTTGTCTAGTTGGTTCCAACTCATAGCAACCTTATGTACAAGAGAAGGAAAAGCTGTGTGCTCCGCACAGTTATTTCTGCATTTGAGCCCATGATTGCAGGCATGATGCCAACTCATCGAGTTGAAAGTCTACTTCTTTTTCGTCGATCCTCTACTTAACCAACCATGATATCCTGCTTCTGTTAACATGTCCAAATTGCGTAAGACAAAGTCTCTGCTGATGAGAAACGTTTCCTACCTACACTGAACATGTTATCAGGAGCAGTGTAATAGGTGTTCCACTTTTTAAAAATTAAATAATCATTTTATTAGGGGCTCATACAACTCCTTACAAAGCATGCATTTGTGTCCAGCACATTAGTACCTATGTTGACTTCATCATTCTCACAACACCCGCTTTCCACTTGAGCCCTTGGTGTCAGCTCTTTTTCCCCTCCCTCCCAAACCCACCCCCTCCCTGAACCCTTGATAATTTATAAATTATTATTTTATCATATCTTACCCCATCCAACGTCTCCCTCACCCACTTCTCCACTGTCCGTCCCCCAGGGAGGTGGCCATATACAGACCTTGTCATCTGTTCCCCCTTTCTCCCTCACCTTCCCTCCACCCTCCCGATATCGCCACTCTCTCCACTGGTCCTGGAGGGGGGTTCATCTGTCCTGGGTTCACTGTATTTCCAGTTCCTATCTGTGCCAGTGTACATCATCTGGTCCAGCCGGATATGTAAGGTAGGATTGGAATAATGGTAGTCAGGGGGAGGAAGCATTTAAGAACTAGAGGAAAATTGCATATTTCATTGTTACTACACTGCACTCTAATTTGCTCCTCTCCTCCCTGCAGCCCTTCTGCAAGGGGATGTCCAATTTCCCCCGGATGGGCCCTGGGTCCCCACTCTGCACTCCTCCTCATTCACAATGTTATGCTTTTTTTTTTTCGTCTTTGATGCCTGATACCTGACCCCTTCGCTGCCTTGTCATCTTACAGGCTGGTGTGCTTCTTCCATGTGGGTTCTGTTGTTTCTCAGTTAGATGGCCCCTTGTTTACCTTCCAGCATGTGGGAAGGTGTGCCACTTTTATGACAGATTTGTCTGTTCTTCTGGCAGTTCATAGTATTCTTGGCTAACATCATAATTCAAATGTGTCCATTCCTCTCTGATACTCCTTTTAATTGTCCAGTTACTGCACGCATGAAAAATACCATGGCTGTGGTCAGATGCCCCTTGGGCCTCAAGACGACACCTTTGCATCCCATTTGAAAGTGAGCTCTTTTGCAGCAGATTTACCCCAGGCAATGTGCCATTTGAATTCTTGACTGCTGCATTGACGGTGGATCCAAGTAAAATGAAATCCTTGACAACATTAATATTTTCTGTGTTGAATCATGGTGCTGTGAGAGTTTTTGTGTGCTTTCTGTTGAAGTTTCATCTACTCTGAAGTCTGTAGTCTTTCAGCTTTATCAGTCAGTGCGTCAAGCCTTCTTTGCTTCCTGCAAGCAAGGTTGTAACATCGGCGTCTCACAGGTTGTTAATGAGCCTTCCTCCAATCTTGATGCTGTGTTCTTCTTCATATGGTCTAGTTTCTCAGATTATTTGTTTGGTATATAGACTGGGTATACTGAAAGAATAAAACCCTGACACATACTTTTCCTGATTTTCAACCACGCAGTTTCCCTGTTCTGTTTGAATCACTGCTTCTTGGTCCATGTAGAGGTTCCACCGGAACACAGTGTTCTGGAATTCCCATTCTTTGCAATGATACCTTTAGTTTGTTGTTATCCGCACAGCTGTACACGATTGCATCGTCAAGGGGCACAGGTAAACCTCTCCCTGGTATTTTCTGCTTTCATCCCAGATCCAATGTGGTGTCTGTCATGACAGCCCTTGTTCCAAGTCCTCTTGTGAGTCCAGCTTGAATGTCTGGTCGTACCCTAATGATACATTGCTGCAAATGCTTTTAAATTATCTTCAGCAAAATTTTATTGACCCGGGATATGAATGATATCATCCAACGAGTTCTGCTTTCTGTTGGGTCACCTTTCTTTCTTTAGGAATGAGCACAGATATGGATCTCTTTTAGTCAGTTGCCCAAACAGCTGTTTTCCAAATTTCCTAGACAAACGAGAGCATTCAGCATGGCATCCGCTGGTTGAAGCATCTGCATTGGTGTTTGGTCCATCCCTGGAGCGCTTTGTCGTTTCCTCGTCAGAGCGCTCACTGCAGGCTGTTCTTTCTTCAGTACCATGGGTTCTCGCTTGTCTGCTACTTCTTGAAATGGGTGAACATCACATATTCTCTTTGGCTCAGTGACTTTCACCTTCAGTTGCTACGACACCTTCCCTCAATTAATATTTCGTCTGTAGAATCCTTCAGTACTTCAACTTGAAGCTTGATTTTTTTTCCTTCTCTTCTTTCAGCTTGAGGAATACTGAATGTGTTCTTCTTCCCTGGTGACTGTCTAACTACAGATCTTTTTTATATTTAATTTTAATACACTGTCTTCTTGGGCTGCCCTTTGAAATCTGTTCAATTTCTATTACTCCAACTACTCCTTGGCAGAAAGGCAGGGCTTTTTGCTTGCATAAAGACCCACAGTCTCAGAAACCCACAACAGGGGCATTTCTAGCCTGTCCTACAGGGTCGCTGTGAGTAGACGTCGACACGGCAACGAGACAAGAGCCCTTGTGGCATACTGGCACTTGTTGGCCCACTACCTGCAAGGAACCACCGACGGCTCCCTGGGAGATGGATGAGGTTTTCTGCTCCCATAAGGAGTTGCCATCTGGAAAACCCACAGGGGCAGTTCGCCCCTGTGCCGCAGGGCGTTCTGAGCCGGAATCGCCTCAAGGGCAGTGAGTGACCTTGGTACTACCTTCATCCATATCTTACTTTTCTCCAAGTCTAGTTCATTTCCCTTTATGATGCACCTATGGTGCGTCTAGTCTCCTGAGTTAGTAAACCCCCACCCCCCATGCTCATCTTGCCCTTTTCCGATCGCATTTGTACAGTATTTTCAACTTGCACTCTAATTTAAAAAGTAGACTTCAACCTTTCATTTGTTTTTGTTTTTTTAAGTGCAGAAACTAGAGTGTTGTTCCCTGAAACCTCTTCTCTCCACGTATTATTTGTCCCAGTAACAGAGCTTTGTGAATGTATCGTTGGGGTCTTTCGTAGCCAGCAGACCTCTTTTCCTCCTTCGTCCCTTCTTCTTTCTCTCTCTCCTTCCCTTCCTTCCTCCCTCCATCCTTCCTTCCAAGACCACCATAGGTGCTTGTTCATGTGTGATTCTTTCCTTGATGTATTACTTGATGAACTAGGCAGTCATTTATGTAGATTCAGCCCTTGATTGTATCCGTGAGCAGACACGCACCAAAAAGTATACACGGATTCTCCTGTATGATACAGTGCATCACAGTCAGTTCAGGACTAGTGTGTGGACTTCCAGGTTCTGGGGTTTATATTCTTTCTTGGGTGATTGGCGAATGGTCACCACGCAGAAGGGCTTCACATTGCTATTATGTGTGACCACCAAGGTCTCATTTCTGTGTCCATCCTACATGCCGTGTAAAGTATTTCTTAAAAGGATTCGTTTCAGTGGAAATGAACATGGCACTCACAGTGCCCTTTTAAGTAGTAGATGTTATTCTGTATCTCGTTTGATGCTTTTGTAAATCTCCATTCATGGCAGTGGTTAATTTCCTTATTTCATATTACAGATGATGTCGACTGTGTGGCTTGCTATTTCCAGATACTCAGAGGGACCGTGTGAGGTTCTTCGAGGGCTGTTGATTGATGTTGTTTATGCTCTCCCCAGGTTTCATTGCGTCAGACATGACATCGCGACACTCCAGTACCCAGTTGTGGTTAATTACGCATTATCATGAAATGGGATCATTGTACGACTATCTTCAGCTCACTACGCTGGATACGGTGAGCTGCCTTCGGATAGTGCTGTCAATAGCGAGTGGTCTTGCGCATTTGCACATCGAGATCTTTGGGACCCAAGGAAAGCCAGCCATCGCCCATCGCGATTTGAAGAGCAAAAACATCTTGGTTAAGAAGAATGGACAGTGTTGCATCGCAGATTTGGGTAAAATATGTTTTAGTTACTATTTTTACTTTTATCGCACATGGTTGTTCAGCCAAGTTGCATTATTTTGTCTATTTCCCCAATATTTTATTATGAAAAATTTCAAACATGCAGAAAAGTTTAAAGAATTTTATAGTGAACAGAGGTGTATGTACACCCAAGACACAATCATTAACATTTTTCTTTTGCTAAGCTTTATCCTATATCTCTCCATTTTCCATCTATCAATCCATCTTATTTTTGATTAATTTCCAAGTAAAATGTAGGTAGAAGGACCAGAAAAGCCAAACTCACGGGCATTGAGTCGATTCTGACTCATGGCAACCCTCTAGGACATGGTAGAATGGCCTCTGTGGGTTCCTGAGACTGTAACTCTTTACAGGAGCAGAAAGCCTCCTCCAACAGAATGCCTGGTGGTTTTGAACTGCTGACCTTGTGTGGTCCACTACACCACCACATTGACTTATAAACCACATCCCTTTTCGGATAAGACTAACTCAAACCTACTGCCGCGGAGTTGATTCCAATGCAGAGCAGCTATGTAGGACAGACTAGGACTACCCTACGGGGTTCTCACGGCAAATCTTTAAGGCAACAGGGTCATCTTTCTCTTTTGGAGTGACAGGTGGGTTTGAATTACCTACGATGCAGTTAACCGTCATGCTCAATGCACTGCGCTACCAGGGCTCCTCCCTCTGAGGCCTCCCCTTAGCCCATGAAGTTGCAGCTTGCTGGTTTGGTTGGTAAAGACTCCCTGCTCCTCCCCACCCTCAGAGACAGGCAGAGCCGTTGCACTCCTGTTTCGGGACAGTGAGAGCACAGTGGACATGTAACGGGTTTGTCTTAAACGTGGCCTCTAAAATCATTCCCTGTAAACAAGGATAAATATCATTTGAAAAAAGCCCCTGAATGACCCCATTCACCCTTTACCTTGTTGAATAATCTCTTATGGCATTAACATAATGCTCAGTGTACCTTTGGTCACATTATAAATAAGATTATTTCATTTTAATCTGATTATAAATAAGACATTTTACATAAAACCATATTTATCCTAGAGACTCATAATATTTACCCAAAAAATAAGAAAAGAAGGGCAATGATACTTATTCATTTCAGTAGACTACTGAGAGTTCTTCTACCTGATTAAAAAAAATGCTTTATCCTATATTAATATATTACAGTTATTGCTAAGCCAATACAGGTTGAGATGATTAGCTTTAATTAAGTAAGCAATGAGGTTTTTAAGAACACTGTTTGTTTTTAAGTTAAGCACTTAGGCACAGCAAAGAAAAATTATTTTCTTTGAGTCCTTTTAAAGTCTTTGCCATGCCCACTGAAAAATTATTTACAGGGTTTTCCAGATATGGTAGGAGAAGGCATGAAACTAAAGGTCTCTGTGGGCAGTGTTTAGTGGTGATGTAGAAGATGCGTCTTGGAACGCCAGAGTAATTTGAGTGTGAGCCCTGACACCCTCCATTATTTGCTGTGTTTTCTGTGCACACTTCCTGCTGTTTCTGCTTATTTCTCCCCAGTGCTGACATGCAGGGTCGGGGTCGGAGCCGAGGGGACTCCAGTGCTCAACCCCAGCGCTCAGTCCTTCTGTCTTGTTCAGCATTTTCACACAACTGCGTCCATGCCTTGCTCGTGGAACTAAACAAACAGGAATGCCTGCCACTCAAGGTTCTAGAAAGATTTAGGAATTATTTATATGCAAATAAGAAGCATTCAAGTAGTAGCTGCTGCTTTGTTGCAGATGTCTAATGGAGATGGACGGAGGAAACCAGCTGTTGGCTCTGGGTGATGAGAGGAGGTTGGGGGAGAACAGGGAGTGTTTTACAGTAGACCCAGCTAGTGAATTCTTCACCTACATTTCTTTTGGTCTGCAGCCTTCTCGTTGAGTATATGGTTAGGTGTAAATGTCGTTGATAAGGGGTCAGTACTCAGGGAGTAGATACAGGAGAAGGGTCTAATAAGACCAGAATTTGTTATGTATTTTTTCATTGTATCTCCAGAAAAGAAGGGTCATTCATTAGAAAGAGTATAACAAGACCATTATTTCATTAATTTGTCCAAATTTGTATTATAAAAAAAGATGTCCAATATAGGTAAGAGGTGAAAGAAGACTGTTAGGCAAAATCATGCATAAATTCAACATCTAGGTAAGATAGGTTCTCAGGTTTGACTGTAATTTTTTTTAATGTGATTGTGTTTTGCGTGTATATATATATATAGGCTGTATATTTTCTAAGCAATTTGAAAAAGGTTGCAGCTATCACAGTGTGTTATTTCTAGATGTTTAAAAATGTGTCCCCTTAGATAAGATAACTTGCCTTTGTCTTAGTGAAATCACAGTTTAATGATCACACACACACACACATCCTCTAACATTACTTAATACATACTTTCAGGTTTTTTTCCCAAACAAGAATTTAGCCACGGTTCACACATTGCATTTGGTTGGTAGGTTGCCTTCATTAGTGTAACAGGTATCGCTTACCAAAAACCACACTCACTGCCATCGAGCTGATGCCAGCTCATCGCAGCTCATACATTGCTCCTAAAGCCTAGCTGCTTCAGACAAATCGCTGGTTAAGGCCTGTAACCCAGGGAGTCCGGGATTGGGAAATGGCAGAGTTGCGTGGTCCTGCCTCGAGGGCTCCTGAGGGTTGTTGCATTGAAGCTGCCGGGCCAGGGAGGTGGTTTTGTGAGCTGAATCTCCAAGGTGGCGCCCTCCCCTCACGGTTGGCAGGAGGCCTCTAGTCTCCACCACGTGGGTCTCTCCACGGTGCTGCTTGAGTGTCTTCCTAGCACAAGGAACAAGCCACAGGAGGACAAATATTTACCATGAGTTTTGTCCTATGAGCTGCGTTCCAATTCCATGCCCTTTGGACTCCTGCCTCTGGGAGAGTGACATCTAGAGAGGACGGAGGAGGCTAACACCATCATTGCCTGCACGTCACAGTGCCTGTTGCCGTCTGCCCTCTACAGAGTGACACATGGCCTCAAAGTCTCCGACTCACAGGGGTTGACATTTACTTTTGAAAAAGAATGAGAGCTGTGTTAAAGCCACATGTCATGGTGAGCCCGTTTCCCTGTGGACTTCAGTCCGTACTTAGCTCCTTGGTCTGTTAGTTCCCTGAAAGTGGTTTTCCGCCACAGTAGCCCTGTTTGCTGGGCTCACCCTAGGAGTCTCACAAGTGTCCCAGAACTGACCCGGGTGTAACAACAGCGACCACGCGTGCCACTAGAGGGCGCTTGGGGTTGGGACTGGGTTGGAATCCCTCAGTGAGAAAGGTAGTGAGCTGTTTTGTCTTCTTCCATTCAGGCCTGGCAGTCATGCATTCCCAGAGCACCAATCAGCTTGACGTGGGGAACAATCCCCGTGTGGGTACCAAACGCTACATGGCTCCTGAAGTTCTCGACGAAACCATCCAAGTGGATTGCTTTGACTCTTACAAGAGGGTCGATATTTGGGCCTTTGGACTTGTTTTGTGGGAAGTAGCCAGGCGGATGGTGAGCAATGGTAGGTATCTAACGTAATACAGCATTGTCCTTGTCTAAGTCCTTCTGATTCTGCTGCCTGTAAAATGGTCTAATGGAATATTTAAGTCCCGATTGTCCCTTGATTCAGATCTGTCAAGCTGTAGGCATTCATATTTGATTGATGGTTGGTAGGTGAGCTCTAATCATGCTTTATTTTAAATACACATAAAGGAAATGACTGCTGAGAAGGGATATTTCTGGAAAAGACTGGTTCTTCTATAGTTTGTCTTTTGATTGAACGATCCTTCCTTCC